AACCACACATAAAAGTTGGACGACCTTCGTGGATGATGGATGAGAAGAAACGGATCGAATGTGTGAAGTGCCGAGATCCGCACAGTAGTTGTGGAAGACGGATCATATAAAAAATAACATATAGGTGTTATTTTTCTCAAATATTCCCTACAAGAAAGCACGTAGCGGTCCGGTTAACAGTGCCCTGCAACATACACCTAGTCTGGTTCAGTGCAGTGCACCCCTATGCTCACCAAACCTTATAACCTGCAGGTGCCGGCAAATCGGTACCAGAGTTGGCCTGGGAGCATCGGTACTCCACTGCAAGTCATCGTCCAAGCGAGATGTGAATCGAGTACGTAGTGCTTCCCTCAAGGATGGATCAACGCCGAGCGCGTTATCTCTTTATGCTTTATTTTCCACAGATTGGGAGAACGGCTTCAGTAACCAAACCGGCGGCTATGCCAAACGTGGGTTCACAAGTAGACGCTAAAGTAGTGAAACCATGGATATACCGGATCTCGATTCAAACTTTATCAATGGCGGCCAGAACACATGTGTTGGAATACGAACTCTGGTGCGCTCACGTCACTGCTGTCATTGTGACGCTAAGTGGAAGGGCGCACGACACAATGATTTCCTTATTGATCATTTTCTGATTTATTCACCTTTTTGTTCAGACTGTCATTCTAACGGCGGTTCATTCAATGTGCAGAATAGTTCTCACAATGAAAAATTGATGAATGCTAGAAATCTGGCCAGTGCTATGTGACATTTTTGCTTTGCAGAATCTCAGCTACTTAAATGAGAATTAGTTTATTGCTGTCGTTGGTCGAGAGCTACCAGAACAGTGAGAATTGTTCTGGGAGTGGGCGGAGGGGGTTTCCAGGGTGCGGGCGAACTCGGCAGCTGTTTCACACAACAACCCTCCACGGCGTTCATGACCGAAATACGTAGACAGAACAGACCTACTGCGACATGGCAAAATTTTAAAAATATTTATACATCGGTGAGTATGTGCAAAAAACCCGTCGATTACCGTCAAATGGATGATTATTTTTGAGAAATGGATCTGAGCAAATAAATGCAGTAAAGACAGACCACACATTTTCATGGGAACCATTGCTGTCGAACAAACTAGGCAAGTCAACCCACGGAAGTCGAGGCAAGGTCGAGTCCTCGAAGCTGGATGGAGACCGCGGTGCTGGTCTGCTCGCGAACCTCTGGCCATTATCGCACGGAATCTTGTCCTTCGGAAACGAGTAGAATCCATAGACGCATGTGCTTCATTTACATTCGTTGTCAGTGCATACACACAAAATAAAGGGAAAAATTTGTAAAATTAGGTAATCTGGCTGAAATATGCCCTCATGCCTTTTTTGGCTTGCCATCGTTCTCACCTCCAGTGAATTTGTACTACTTAGGCACAATGGAGCGGGATTGAACCAGAGATTCGGTCGGCCTACCTTGCAGGGTACCTCTAACCACTGCGCTACATAAGCCATACTTCCACCAATACCGAAAGCGAATCAACCGGTTGACATTCCATTGTTTCGGATACCATATTATTCTCGGAAATGGCACACCGACATCAGATGAAGGAAGAAACCTGGTAGCACGGGACTGCTCAATAGCTGCTTATCGTAATATTCTAAGAGTGGATCCGTTAGACTCATAAGTGTCCATGTAGTAATTACCCTACAGCTCGTAGAAAAACTCCCCACAGAAATGATAACGACGTGCTATAATGTGGCTGTTAGATTCCAGTATTGCGTCACGTCCGTAGTGGATCCGGCGACGGTATTGGCGTTGTGGGGATCCGATGTCAACCAACAAGAGCCCATGCATAAGATACTATCGATTAGTAAAGAAAGCGTCGCAAAATGTTCACTGTAAAAGAAATGTACTGCATGTTGCGATATTACAGCACCTTCATTTGGCCAACGTGATGACGTCAGATGAGGTCTGTTAAAGTTACGTATATGAAGAGAAACCGGATTTGGCTCTAGGTACCTGATGAAGCACCTAGCGTGGGCATTCGTCGAGTTAGTGCTGTGATTGATTCAGGCATTGCTATCGATCCAGAGGCCTAGAAGGCGTGTATAGACGGAACGTATGGAGTCGGAGTGCACTGTACGGACCATATCACAGGCTGGCAGGGCGTGTGGGTGTGTTTGTGTGTGCAGGTGTTTCTATGCCCGTGTGTTACTTATCCCCGAAGTGCAACACATCAGCATTATCACATTACCAGTTTGCTCACCTAATCCATCTGCCCACCGGCTTGTGAGCCGTCTGGTTTCCGAAACCAGCCGCGATCGATCTCGGATGTCTGGGCGCATTGATCGGGTGTTACCGGAAGGATACGCGCCTCGCCTCAGACGTGACATACGACGAAGGTTAAAACCAACCGCTTGCAAACTGGTGTGCTGCGTATGAATGGGTTCCGTTGTCTAGCTGAACGACAGCATCACTACACAACGACGTCCTCTGGACCGTTCACGTCCACTCGCCCGTTGCGGGCGATAGCTCCCGAGTGTCCCCAACCCTTTCGGGACACCCAGCAATCGATCGAAGGCGGGCGACGTTGGCCCACTGGGCTTGGCGGCGAGTGGTCAACGGCTTGGTGGTGGATTGCTACCCGTAGAGCAAAGTTTCGCACCAAAGACCAACTCCGCTCATTGTGACACCTTCTGCAAGTTCTGTTATCAGCTTGCTGCTCTTTCGCGCATTGATCCGTTTGTTTGTAACATTTTCCAGCGAGCCGGGTTCTCTTAAGTGTTCCCAGTGACTAGGTTTACTCGTGCATATCTCTTTTTTCTTCCAAATGTGCCTAATAAGTCGTTTTTCGCCCAGTTGATTGATAAAGCGAAATCCTTCTCATCTCATCGATCATTGCTTTTGGTATTTCCCGCGTTTTGGCCTTACAATGCTCTGCTTGTTTCCGTACTGCTCTCACTGCGTGTTCTCAGAGGGAACATACCGCTCCAGTCCTTTTCATTCAGTGATGTTAGTTCCTCCTAAAGATTTGAATTTGCTTCCGTGTTTAAGATTTCTCATTTCAACGATTTTTCGCCTAACGGTGTTAAAAGTACTGCTCTTAAGGTTCTTAAGCCGAGGCTGTGTACGTTTTTGCGCGCGTTCATGGACAACTAGCATTTACAGCAGCTGTGCAGGTACCCCTACGATTTCATTTCGTGTTTCTTTCTTTTTCTTCTTTTTTTCACACTCCTTATAATCCTGGTATTCATCAGTACCTTTTAATGCTTCGTAACACGTTCTTATTCACCCACTCTTTGGATTCCATAGAGTATTAAGTCTTCATTTTTCATAGTTCACTTGATTCCACCGTATAACGCATGAGGATAGTCCTTATGAGTACTTTTTGTTCGGTGAGCTCCGACTCTACGTGGCATGTAGTACTGTGGTGGATAGAGGGTTAAATGTGGACCGAAGTGACTAAGTGTTTGTCATGAAACGTGATGAGTTCAAAGTACGAGCTTTCTTCCCTCCCTTTTTCAGCCAAGCCGCATTGAGCTATGCGTTTTCTGTTTACAGCAAGCGTATTCAAGCACATTTTCTAAGGATCTGTTTGTATTTTGGTGCTTGTATTCGGCTGATTGATTCATCCAAAGCACTTCAGTAAAATGCAGAAAACTTTAGGGGTTGGGAGGCAGTTTGGCGTAGAATTCGTCTTTGGTGAATACGTTGTACATCTACTTCGTAGCAATGCATAGATATACGAAGGTCTCACGGTTCAGCCCAGTGATCGGTTACCGTTTTGCTAAAACCGTTGAGAAATGGAAGAGTTAGAAAGTGGAGGAGTGAAGGAGTGAGTAGAGTTAGTTGGAGTAAGGAGTTAGAGAAGTTCACTGGAAAATGTGCTGTTCCTCCTGATTGCTGAGTGAGTGAAGTCCATCGAAAATGTAATGCATAACTGGAATGAGGGCTACTGGTGCGCGCTTAAGACACCTGATGGTTGACTCCGTTAGGGATGATGGATAAATAGGTGAGGGACAAAGTTTTCCTAGCCTTTTTGTATATTATGTGTGGACTCTTGTTCAACAATTGCGAAGTTGTTAAACAGCATACATTTACTTCCATAGAAAAACACAAAGCAATGCAAGAGTAGCTGACGTTTCGGCAGTATCGCCTTCCTCAGAGTCTGGAAGGGTATACTGGTTCTACTAGGCCAAGCGCTTCAATGACACTTACAAAAAGACGAAAAACTCTATGGTAATTACATGCTCAACAGCTTCTCGAAAAACTCACCGCTTTTTCGTGACTTCCAATGAGGAAGTTTAGAACAGCTGATTATAGTCGCATATGGTTGATGACTGCACAATCCCACATCAGAAATCGATGCGAACATACGGGATCAGGTCGCGTATGACCTCTGGGCATTCATCCCTGCTATTCATTGTGGGGTTTTTGGCATTTGTCCAAAAGCCTCAAGAACTTTTCGCGCTGGTGTTTTAGACTCCTGTGCAAGGATATTGACTTTTACTTCAACATCGTCTCCGCTATGCTTTTGTATTTTATGCGTGCCTAGTGGGGTACTTTGTCTTAGTTTTCGTTTACCATCTAGGTGTTCTTCAGAGTTATTAAAGTGTTTGGCCTAGTAGATTGCATATCATTATACCCTTCCAGGCTCTGAAGAAGACGATACTGCCTAAATGTCAGCTACTGCTATATTGTATTGTTTTTCTATGGAAGTAAATATATGCTGTTTAACAACCTCGCGATTGCTGAACAAGAAAACGACGCATTCACATTCCTATGCCGAGGTTAATAGAAAGTCGATCTTGGGAACTACGTGTGAACTGTTATTGATTTAAACGAAATACAATTATCAACAGCTCTGTTTTTCTTTTTAATCTTCACCAACATTAGCAATTCGTGTCAGTATTCCAAATAAGTTTTCGTGTTTCGTGTAAATATTTCTCTTTATCCTATCCTCATTGCCGGGTGTCGTCTGTAGTTATTCTTGAGGTGAAGCCATTCGCATTGCTTACATTCTAGTGATGGCGGGCGTTTTCGATATCGAGCTAGACGGAGGCGAGTCTCAACGCTCTGATGGCGGTGCACTTCAAGAAGAAATGGAAGACGATCAAATGTATAGGGACGTTGCTGATGTGCGTCCATCTTTCACCTGTTCTACTGGTTACTTTTACCCAGGCCTATCTCTTTGATCGTGTGTTCTAAGCAGCTTTAAATTTCAACTTGTTGTCATACCCTTTCGATCCATTCAGTGTTGGCATATTCCAGGGCGTGATAACTGATGCCCCTCCAAGTTCATCGTTTACGTGAGTTATACGCTGTAATAGTTTCCATATATAATATTCAAGAAGCAAGCTAGTGCTTGAACCGTTTAGTCAAGATCCTATGGTGGAAGCCATCGATTTATCGTGTATTACTGTCAATCAAGGTGTTCGAGTCGGACCAAAGGACTTCGAATTACTCAAAGTTTTAGGAAAAGGTGGATATGGAAAGGTGATTTTTGAAACACTTTTACAATCAAGCAGAAATTTCTTTCGCAGCCAAGTTTATCATTTACGATTTTACGGTCAACAAATTCTCTCTCGACGTTGTATGGTAAAGGGGTAAGTTCCCAATGAAATTAATGTTCACCAAAATTAAGTGCCTATTTCACAGCGTCTGAATTAGCTTTCCTTTTGTTCTGATTGGTCTTGTCTCCACGAAGGTGCTCCTACTTCTCAACACTTGGTAGCTGAAAGTAAATTTTCCCAGTTGCTGTATTTTTAGGTATTTCAAGTTAAGAAAACGACGGGTTCTGATAAGGGGAAAATATTTGCTATGAAAGTTCTTCAGAAAGCGACTATTGTTAGGAATCAGAAAGATACTGCACATACCAAGGTAAGTTATGCATGTAAGTTATTAAGTTATGCACATAAGGTATCAAAGGTTGAGGCTTTTTTTCTTCTTTTGGCTCAGGAGAATATTTCGGAAAATAACGAAGAACCTTTACCTCTTCGAAGGAATGCATCAGAAAATCTCGATTTTCAGGCAGAGCGAAACATTTTGGAGGCTGTCAAGAGCCCATTTATCTGTGATTTACTTTATGCCTTCCAAACTGGCGGCAAACTTTATCTTATATTAGAGTACCTTAGCGGTGGAGAACTTTTTATGCATCTAGAAAGAGAAGGCTAGTGTTTCTTTTCATTTGTCAAAGTTCTCTTTTTTGTTTTAAATTATGAGTTACTTGTTATAATTAAATGTTAGTGAGCCGAATATCCTAAGTTTGGTTAAGGTATGTTTTTGGAAGATACGGCTTCATTTTACCTTTCTGAAATAGTTGTGAGTCTGGAACATCTTCATCGGCAGGGTGCGTATGTTTCATTCCATATTTTAATGGGGAATATTTGGTTCGTTTTTGTCTCTGTTTACTATCTCTACTGTTGGTTGTATATTTGCTACTCAAATATTTCACATGTCCTGTGTAAAGAAGATGGATGATCACTAAAACTTGGGGCTTGGAAACTTTGATGGCCCGTCCTCACTGATTGTGCGGATGCCAGCATAATCTTCATTTTTCGGAGTTTTGATGGTTTAGCCATTGTGCTTCCTTGCAGTCCCGAAGTCGGCCTAGGCGAGGTCTGCCCCAGGTCGTCACCACCTTAAGCACTCGCCGCGCTTGTGTGTTAGAAGGAAGTTTACCACCATGGGACTAGTTTGATACCAAGACGGTGGTGGTTCCTGGTATTGGTTTACTCTTAGCTGGGCTTCCTAGTGGAAACGCCGGGCCCTTTCTCAGCTTGGGAGACCCTGCCGGGGGATGAATCCTCCGCTGTAGATCGCAGTTCGACACCCAGGAAAACCTCCCAGCCACGATGAGGGATATACCGTTTGGAGCGATGATCAGTAAAGGTCATATTATAGTTAATTACGTCGCTTGGTTTGTCTTTCTCTTTATATGAATGACTTGCAAGATTTAAGTAATGAATTTTGCCTCAAGGTTGTTTTTTTAATTACAGGTATTATATATCGAGATCTCAAACCGGAAAACATTCTTCTTGACGGACGTGGCCATGTGAAACTCACTGATTTTGGGCTGTGCAAGGAGGCGATTGAAGGCGATCAAAAAACACACACATTCTGTGGAACTATTGGTTTGCTTATCGTTTGTTTTGTCCGCTAACGGTCTTTTTTCTTCCTGTTTTTTTTTTTCATTATTGACACGTTTGCGGACCTTTATGAGCTCTGCATTACTCATACATCTATTTAACCCTTTCAAGTTCAGTACATTCGCTACGAGGTAACCTCACATAGAATCATGCAATATAAAAAATTAGACCTCCATTTTAGACAACATATCTCGGCCCATCCTGAATTTTCCTATTACGGTTGAAAGTTTTAGAACTTACCTGTCTTTGTGTGCAAGGTACATGCTCTCTTATTCTACCATTGTGAAATTCTGATGCTCTCGAGCTAATGAAATGCATTTTTTAGAACTTCATTTTTGCCTAAAAACTTAATTTTTGGGGAGGAAAGTTATTGAGTAAGCGGCATCCATGCACTTTGACATGGTAGCATTCCCATGTGCATCGTTGGTTTTAGCAGATTGTTACGCCTTGTATCTGGAGGTTTAAAAATCCTATCTTTTCCAATCTTTCTGGATTTTTAGAAGCGTCTTCGGTTTCCGAGGAATTTGAGTTCTAAACAAAAATTAGTTTCATATAGCGACACCTCCAATTCTCTTCTGCTAGTTTTTCGAAGTTCTTAACTCAGCTACTTTAGCTATCGAAAAATTATCGCAATTATCTAAAGTTATCTCGATCGTGAATCTGTTGAAAAAGTATCGAAGTCATCCAAATTAGTATTTCGACTGTTTTTGTGAGCCCAACATTTTTAATTAATTGGAAATAATTCTCCGATATTTTTTCAAGGGGCTGCTCTTGTTTTTCATACAGTCCTACTGTCCTAGAATGTGAATGATTCATTCCATGATTAGTAATTTTTAGACAGTGCGTTCCCTGTTTAAATGCCATCTTTTCATCCTTTATTCTAGTTTATTTCTTTGACTTTACAATGCAGAGTACATGGCTCCGGAGATTCTAATGCGGTGTGGACATGGCAAAGCTGTTGACTGGTGGAGTTTAGGAGCTCTTATGTTTGATATGTTAACTGGCGGTCCACCTTTCACTGCAGAAAATCGCAAGAAGACCATTGATAAGATTCTCAAAGTCAGATTTTGTCGTTGTTTCACTTTTTATCGAACGTATCGTTTTTCAAATTGGAATTTGGGATTTCGGTATTTGGACTTTTGCGTGACCAGTTCTTCTGGTTTCGTACTGTGCATCCTTTTAAGGGCCGACTTACCCTGCCTGCTTATCTCTCAATTGAAGCTCGTGATCTCATTAAGAGATTGCTGAAAAGACACGTTGAAACAAGGCTTGGAGCAGGTAGTTTCTATCTTGCTCGCTGTAAGGTGTTTCGATTCTCTTGAGGAATTTACTGAAGTTTCTGTGTGTAATTTTCTTGAATTTAGGATGGCTTTTTAGGTCCTGAAGATGCGGAGGAAATCAAACAACACCCCTTCTTTCGTCACCTCAACTGGGATCTCGTTTTTGCTCGACAAGTATGTGGCTGTAGTTGTTCAATCATTCTAGACTGTTTTTTTCATGCTTATTGTCGTCCATCGTATCGAATTTCTCTCACAAACGGTATTCACTGACGCTCCGAATTTCATGCTTTAGTCATCGTTTTCGGGCCAACACTTCCTATTGTTGCTTAGTTGGGAAAGCTTTCATGTGTTCAGTGACCAATCTTCAACCAAAGGCTTCTTGTGTCTCTTACGCTGTTGAAAATGTTTTTGTAACAAATAGTAGTGTGTGAAACGGAGAGAAAAGAATTCAAATGCATAGTCACCATTGTGTGAAGGACAAATTAGCTGCTTATTCGCTGCTAAAAATCATATTTTTTTCACTCATCTTTGTACCATGCGCCTTTCATAACTACTGTGTAGATCCCAACACTTTTCACATCCGATTTATTTCCTCGCATCCATCATCCATGAAGGTCTTCCAACTTTTTACATTTGTGTTCGGCTGCTGCTTGCGGATTTTCCTGTCATCTTGAATGTCGTTACATGCTGATCGACTCGATTCTTCCTGGAGTCTTGAGATAGCCGAGCTAGAACGTTCCCACTGGATTGCAGAGATTGTTTTTTTTTCATGAACAAGTCCGGTAGCAGTTCTCCGATGCCAGCGGAATGAGAGGCTTAGTTATCCAAGGGCAGGATCGAACCAGCACCATGCGCGATTGTCGGCATCGGTACCACTGTACTGTCCGCTCCCTGGTTAAGATTGTATATCTCCGATAAATACAGATGTGTTACAAATTTTTCGTATACTTGCATTTAGTATACTATACCGTCTCGTCGCTACGCTGGTAATACTATTGCACTACCTTATCGAAAGTAGTTATGATCGAGGCTCGCATAAGCGCACCTGCCTTCAACGATGATAGCGACTGATAATTGCATTATTAATAGCAATAATAATGAATGAATCATTTTAAAGTAGCATGATAGGAGTACATAGTAAATAATAGTAGTAATAATAGGTGATCGACGTGAGTATTCATCATTGTATTAACATATATGATTTTTGCTCTCGTGTAGTTAATACTTTTCTTCAACCGCTTTTGTATCTCTTACAATAGACAGTATTTCAGCTGGAGCCACCATTCAAGCCCGAAATGAAAAGCGAAGAAGATGCGTCTTTGTTTGACACTAGATTCACAAAAATGACCCCAGTTGATTCTCCCTGTGATTCAACATTTAGGTAATTTTGGTGACCCATATTTTTATTTTTGCTATGATTGAACACGTGTAAATGGTTTTCAGCTTAACCGGTGACAATCCTTTCGCGGGTTTCACTTATGTGGCTCCGTCTGTTCTCGAAGCAATGAACCAACCGGATCCTCCACAGGTCACTCGTGCACGCTCACCTCGCAGACCTCATTTGTGAGTTTTCCTTGGTGAAATCTATATTATAGGTGTAATTTTTCGCCATAATAGTTTTTTAGGTTCTCACTTATTTCTTGTTTCCATTACAGAAATTCTGTCTGGTTATTCGTAATATATTGCTACCTTAGGAAATAGTCAGATCTCCAAATATAGTACATTTTAAACAGTGCACGTAGTAGGAGGCAATGAAATGCGTTCCTCGAGCACTTATATGTCTTTCAAAAACAATAATACCACTAAGTGATTAGTACAGAAAAGGACGACTTACATTGACTTCAAATCATAAGTGCTCAAAAACAATTGCCCCTATCAACTTTAGGCAAACATATCTTAACTTATAGTGTTCTTTATCAATTGTAATAAACCCTATTAAAGTCGACAGATTTTGCTAACAAGAAAACGCTTTTCATATTCTACCGCAATGAAACTGTGGTCTATAAAAGTTCTCTTCGATGCTCATATTGCGATCAGCCAAGCGATAGAACAAGCGGGGTTTCGTCCAGATGGATGCATTCATGGCCAGAAACTTATTATTGATGTTAGCAGTGCCATACTCGACTTAAAATTTTTAGAGATTTAATTTTCATCTTCAACCGTTTTGAAAATTTGACTTTGAGGCGAATTTAAAATTGAAACAGTCGTCGCACGTGTGTTAACGAGAGTTTCATATTTTAGACCGCATCAGCGGCAGGGTTTTCTTCACTACATATACTTCCTAATAATACGTTAAGCATATTTTTCAGCTTACAAGAAACTCATAGTCATCCATGCGAGCATGACGTTAACCACGGACCCCTCTCACATTTACTGACAAATGCCGCCGATCCGTCCTTGTCATCACGAGTCGACGACGCTATGGATACCTCAACAACGCCTCGTGCTTCGGAATCGAGGGGAAACCACCTGTTGTCATGAATTCACATCCACGCATTCCAGCTCACAGAAGTCATTTTCAAACATACCGAATTTGCTATTGTCCTGTTAAACTGAGTTCTAAAAATGACACCATCACTATCCTTATTATTTATGTGGTATACATTCGTAATTTTTGTGTGACCGTTCTAGCAGTTGCAGCTGTGTAGTTTCTTTACTATTTTCGTTCGTCTTGTTCCATTTCTGTCAAAGCTGGTTCTTCTCTAACACCATGTTCTTCCAGTCTTTCCTTCTGGTACCGGTAATGATAGATGAGGAGGCGGTGATGTATGCTCAAAATTTATGCGAACTCCGATTCGTCGGTAGTTTTTTGACGGAGTTATCTGTGCTCAGTTTGCTTCTTCATGATTTTTTGAAGTATTCATCGATTTTTGTCTCTTGTGTGTTTATATTGTTAGTTGATTGTTATAACTCGTACAAGCATCGGAACGCGTGCCTTTCATAGAGGATTTACGTATATTATTATTTGTTAGACATGTGTGTTGTTGGATGGAAAAGTTCGTTGATGGATGTGTGTGCTTATTATCTTCATTCCAACGCCGGTGTAGTGTCACGCACTGGACGTTGTTATTACTGTTTCTTGTTCGTAGAGTCCAGTGCCTGAAATGTTTTCAAGTTGGCGGATAATGAAGCAATAAAATGTTGCCTCTGCAATGTTCAGCGTTCAAAACATATGACGCTCAGTAGTGGAGATCTTAATGGCGTAGCCGTTATTCTGTTGGGCGAACATGGGACTCTTCTTCAGAGATTTTCATACACATGTAGACATATGAATTCAGGATTTCAAGCTTACATTTCTTCTTGCTTTTTACCCTGGAGGTGAAACCATGGCATATCGCTTTTCGTTGTTCAAAGGCATTCAGGCCCTTCTATCAAAGTAGGGATCAGCGCTCTTTGTGTCGATGCTCAGTGACAGTTATAGTTGTCTCACTGATTAGGTCACATGACTAATTCCGGTTGACAAATTTTTTCGGGAAACTTTGACGTAGGCTTCATCAGACGGCATTTTGCCGCAGTTCGTCCTATAAGGTATGAATGAGCGCTTCTTTATCTGTTGTGAAGATCTTGCAACACAATGCCACTTCGCAACTGACTGCGCTTAACAAGCGCTGAATTTATTAATCGAGGCAGATAGATCCTCGAATTCCAGCCACTGGGAGTCCTTGATTCGTTTTCTTTCCCACTGTTTTCTTGCCACTGTTCTTTCCTTTCTACATATTTTCTGCATCCCATCAACAGTCACTATACAACATGATGGGTTTTCCAAAATAATTGTTTTTCGAGCAGGAAAACACAGGCTGTTGTTCATGAGGAGCAATAAAATGTTACACGTAGGCGCACGTCACGAGCGTTCATCAATCTGCTTCTACATTGCCCTTGGGAAGACTAAAAGTGCTCAATTTCTTCGTGCTCAAACAAATTTAGTTCGAATGTGGAGCTTTTGTATTTAACAATTTTTGAACCTACAATTCGGGGTGATTGTGTTGCACAATCTGCAGAGACTTCTATACGTCGTAAAGGATATTCTCCATCTTTTAGTACTTTAATATATTTGTTATATTATTTGTATACTGTTCCAAGCACGCTATTGTTATCACATGTGTTACGAAATAACTTCGGTTGAGTCTCCCATCAGTGTTTCACTTCGACCGCTCATGTTTTAATTTCCTAGTACCTTAGCAATCTTCTATCCTCATCTATGACGAGAACCCTTCACCCACATTGTATAGATGGCAATGATCCTATAGAACATCCTTGTAGTCTCATCCCATTCATCACTACATTTTGCAATTTTCATCGACACACCGTTTCAAAACTGCCATCAAATACACCCATTCTTCAACCGTGTCTAGAGATTGCTATTGACTGGTGACCCATTTCCTCTACAGTCGTGTTACGCTTCCACTTGACCACGCCTCTTAATAGTGGCTAACCACACTCAGTGTAACTGTTTTCTGATTATGTTATCTTTGTGTAATGGTCTCGCTGTATTCTACCCCATCTATTGTTATTGTTATGCAAACAGTTTGCTAAAAAGTTTAAGTACCCAAGTTTGAGGTTCAGACCATGACACCAGTAGAGAATCGGCATGACAAACCAGAGGAAGATAAGCACTCCGCCATACCAAACTAGCCAATATACAACTCTTACAATTTACACTTGTTGCTCACAACTGCATAGCTAATGGCGTCTGCTACCGAGGTACCAGATCTGCCGTATCTATTGTATCGACTAATGCGTCAAAATTTCATTCAGTAGCAATGCCAGAATAGGAATGGCCAACGGAAACTAATGTAGAATAGGAAAATTTTGAATTATAGGTCGAAAAAAGAATCGGAACCGACTTTCGAGACTTCTGTCCAAAGCAGACTCCTCCATGGGGATTCACTTCTTTAGAACAAAGAAAATCGCCCATAAATCTGGAGGTCTCCTAACGGTACCACTCATACATAGGTCAACCACATTCTCACAAACAGAAGATGGAACTTCTTACCTCTACAGTACACCTGCGTGGTACACGCAGTACTTGTTCCACTCACCACCTTCTACGTGTAAGACTTCGATTTAGTCACACCTTAGAAAAGAACTCTTGCCATCGTCCAAGAAGGATAAGGACAAATTTTTAATGACGAGGATATTTTCAATAAAATCCTGTCCTATATGACTTGAAGGTAAAGAAAGACCACACCCAGTACTATAACCTGCTTGTCGAAGGACATAAAACTTACACCGCACTCGACTCAGTTCCTCAAACAAAAACCCCTCACCGCTGAAAAGCTGCTCGAAAAGAGAAGTAAACTGGAGCTTGATCCTACTGCAACACATCTAACATGGCTGATAATGAATGCCAGCTACAGAAGATAACTGCAGGAAGATTCACATCTGTACAGGCGACAAAGAAGTTGTTGAAAGCAGCTAAAAAGCAATCTGCTAAGAAAGCGCTGTTGGAATCTTTATGGCTGAAATTTCCCGCTATCAGCGTTGATGAACGAAGAGTAGACTGTCTCTATATATAGCCATGATATGGAATTCGTAACAGAAAAGTTCTATGTCATTCTCATCTGTTCCACAATCCTCGTCTCAGACCGTGAAATCCCCGCTAGAGAAAAACCATCTGGGTTCCTGGATCGGATCCATGACATTATTCGAAGTCCAGATTGAAACTCCAGTAATCCCTTAACCTTAATTATATAACAATTAATATTTGAATTACGGTGCAAAAAATGTTCTCAGCTCTTCAACATGTTTCAGGCTTCACTAGTTCTTCTGCTTGCATATAATTGCATCCTTCATAGATAGATACCAGATATCTGCTATAAAATTCATTTGTTCCCTATATCCCAGCAGACGCCGTTGATTAACTCAAGAACGACTCTCATAGAAGATCTAGTAGTCATGAGACGGTTGACTGCTTTTTCTTTTTCTATTGCTATAATGCATCGTATGGATTGCCTAAATACCAAGGAAAAAAGAAACAGAGATTTAATGGAAATCTGTTACGAAGCAGATTATCAAGGACCAACCGTACCGTGACTATATGACGCAGGAACTTCTTTTATTAAAGAAAAAGGAGAAAAAAGTACGAGGAAATATAAAGCAGAATATAGGAACATAGAGGACACGTGAAATATAAACAACGATAAAAATGAGAGAAGAAAGTACGTGGAAAAACTGAGTTGAAATGAAGAGCGAAAAAGACGGAAAAGGGACTTCAGACTTGGACTTTTTCGTAGGGGACAGAACGGGAGCGCGTGCAATTGCTTAGTACTTGACCTACGGCGCTTAAGAACATACGGTCCGATAACATATGCATTGGTCGGGAAAGAGTCGGGATTTCAAGGAATATTTCGTATTCGAATTTATGAAAATTGCTGAAATTTATCCAGATTCTGACAATAAGTGCAGAAAGAGGCACTAAGCTATAGGAACACTATTCTACAGGACAATGCCCAAAAGATCACGCGAATTTTAAGAATTGTGACGCTCTCATGGAGACACCGATTCGCAGCGCCCCATGAAAAGACGATAATTGAGAAATGGTTGATAATTACGGTCCATGCATTTAACAGTCCTAAAAGAAGAGTAATATATCATTATTATATTACGTATTTATAAGAGTAATATAGCTATTATTAACACTTAGTGACTGATGTATGTGCATTTCCACCCACATATGGTCGACATAATGGCCGACTTGAGTGTATATCCACTCATTTTTTTGTAGTCGTTCATTTTTCCGTGTACTGGCTTTCCTTATCGTGCTTTCTGTAATCATTTGATAGTTATTCCCAAGACCGATTTTCTGTTAACCTCGGCATTGGTTGACAATTCGATGTTTTTCTTCAATAAGCAGACACGAGGTTGTTATTATAGTGTTATATATTATCGCACCCAATTTGACCCTTCCAGAGGAACAATGGAGAAAATTTTGGAGAAAGAGTCATTATCCTTACGCATGAATCGAAAACATCAGCGCGTAAAACTCTTGAAGCGTTTTGGATCAATTCCAAAGATTCAAAGATGACCCGCAAGGAGTGTCTTGCCATCACGCGTGACCTGGCGCCAAACCTTAAGCCGATTCTGTGACCTGACCCAAGCACATTCCTCGCCTATGTATTACTCTGTGCGGCTGCTATGTAGCAATCAACTGCAATACTTACAACGAATAAACGGCAAGTGCTTAAATGAAGCTGTTTCTTATGCAAATGCAAATTCATTTGTTAAGTTTTATCTGATGGGGTTATGAAAGTGTTTGGCTGAGTAAGTCGCATTTCAATTTGACCTTTCCGGGCTCTGAAGAAGGCGAAACTGCCGAAACGTCAGCTATTGTATCCTAGTGAATTCTATAATAACAACCTCATGTCTGCTTATTGAAGAGAAACATCCATTTGATAGCTTATCCAGTTCAGATGATTGTGCTGAGCATTGGAACTATAAATCCATTCTGTACAGTTAATAATTCACAGAAAAAAACTTTGAGGAAGATCATTTCGAGAACGAAGGACTATCGGTGGTGTGGAGAGGGTATCGCCGTCCAGGATAGAACAGAAACGTCTTTGCCGCACTTCAACGCTAAAGCTCAGCCCCGAAGGGTATTTCTTCGATAAAATGGTAAATCACCTACACTTGTATAGGTGGTATGTAGAGCACATTTATGTATTGGGTGTCACCAGAACTATTTTTATGTAGAAGGGTTTGGCGTTTTATCTATTACTTCTCATGTAGTGTGGCTTATTACAAACTCTTGTGTTGATAACATCCGACTGATGTCGTAAACACACAACGAAATATATTTGTTATGCAAAACTTTTACAATAGAGGCTCCAAACATACCATCTACAATCTTCACAACCTCAAAATGTTATACATAGCACGTTAGCAACCATCACAACCTATAAAATTACACATGCAACCACAATGATACTGAGACATTTGCCAAAACTCCTGACCACTGGTGTCTACAGTGGGGACCAAACACTCTATTACCCTTTCTGGCGGCTAGCGCGTTCACCGCCAAGCCATGCGAGTCCTTCGCTTCGCCTTTAGGTCAATAACACGGCTGAGAGAAAGGCGAAATGAAGGACTGGCATGATGTAGTGGTGATGCGTTAATCCCCTATGGTTATATCTCACATAATAGTCTGCCATTAAAAAAAAGTAGGCAGTAAACAAAAAGTGACGATAATGTGATTACCCATACAATTTGCAATCTTCCCAACTTAGATCTTCTACATTTAACATAACTTGCGACAGTGATTAAAACACTTGAAAAAGAAATATTTGTGGCAATGGCTACAACTGCTGTTTATCTCCTTGGAACGTATACCATCAGATACTGAGCCCCGAATTTGTGGTAGTGCTACGCAGCAACCAACACAACGTCTCCACCTATTTGGAGCTGCTTCCAAGACATGACAAAGTGAGGGTGGTGTAGTAGAAGAGAGCACTTTGTCTGAGGGCATCAACAATTAGTGGGCCTACATCTTGTAATTAGTTAATGGAATTTTCTGGGTAGCCTCGCAGTGGCTCTGTGTTCATCAAGTACACCTGGGCGACGAAGTGAACGAATAGGCCTAGATACAAGTTCGGTTAATGAATCGGTACACTTATCCCTATGCAGCCTGATAGTTTAGTCCAGGTTCGCTCTCGTGCAAGGTTTAAGGATCGTGATGCACGACATGTGATCAATCACTGCTCATGCTACCAACTATTTCGATCTCATCGTCCCTTTTCACTTCCTGCATAGGGTAGGACTCTGACTGCAAGATGCCTCAGCGTCAGTGTCCTCAATGTTCTCAATATCAACACTTTCGTAACCCTTTCGATAAGGAGTTCATCAAAGTTCGATTCTTTAGTCACTTACATAATTGAACCCCTACGTTAACGTAAGTCCGGTGTCAAAGCAGGACTTCTCGTTCTTAGTGCTTTTATTAAACTAAAACTAGGTTGCTGATACGATTTTTAGTGTTCTGCTGCTAATTCTTCATCTTACTTAGTTTTCTTCGGAGCCTGAATGGAACAGAACATAAGATGTATGAATCAGGGAGATAAAATTAGAGAGAGTAACTCAAAACCTCAATTTCTCTCACAGTAAAAGGTTTTATAGTTACCCAATGTTTTTCGTTGTCCAATTCTTAGCGAGTGAGAGACCAGAAAAACTGAAGTGTTCGTCGATCTCAAAGATCCAGAATGGATCGAAAGGACTAGTGCTTGATCATCACAAGTGAGACTGCACACTTAAAGTAGCCCAGTGAAAAATGGTATTTGCAAAACCACAATAGTTTAAATCTTGGTTGAATTTCTCACCAAGTTTACCGAGCTGTCCTATTCATTAATCCTGCATATTAGCACATTCACGAACAAGCCAATTCTCAGTTGGCATACACGTAGAGAAACGTTTAATTCTTCGCCTCAGACGGTATGTGTTGAACTCAACGCAAATGGTCCGTTATACCCACTATGTGCTCTTCTTAGTAACAATCTCTGTTACTTAGGTGACCCTAGAGGCAAGGAATCACCTCGCGACGTGAGCTTTTGTACTCGTGCATTATTAATATCATAGCAGTCTCACCATCTCTGGTATTTTCGCCAGTGGATACGTCTTAATATTCTCCTCACCAGCAACATTGTTTGTCGAAACAAACAAACGCAACCAGAAATTCATGACGAACATGCGACAAACAAATTATTCAGCAAATCCAAAAAAGTGTAGCAAGAAAAAAAAACTTTGGTGGCAAAAGAAACCAATGAAAAATGAAGTCGATGAACGTCGTCCCCATTGATGTCCCATACATCCTTGTGAATATGTCCATATATCACTTTCCATGCTTTGAACAAGGCTAAATCCCATGAAAGGCTATCCATTTATTAGCAACATTTTGCTCGCGACCTTGTCCCGGTTCATCAACAACGCTTCGACAGGGACAAATTCCTGGTCCACGTCGATGTTTTTTAAAAGCTTTACTTCCGCTAATTATTTGGAGTTAAATCAAAAGACTTTCAATTGTCACAATATATAACTGTCCAAACTCGTTCGGCTAAGTTTGTAATGAGAACAAATCATAACAGATTTATTCTCCTATTTCCGCATTTTTTTATCATAACCTCGCAAAAACTTTTGTCCTGTTATTCTTGTAGATTCGTCCAGATTTATGTGCAGAAGGGCATTCTCGATCATCACTCGGTGAATATAGAGGTACTGCACCTCCGTTTGGATGCATTGCGCTCGGGCACACCGCAATTCACGTGCGATCTGCAACGGAAGAAATCCTAGAAAGAATTCGAAGAATCGCAACCGAAGTAAGAGTCCACACCTGTTCAAAGTCGATTCTACTCCCAGCGACCACTTTTTGGAGCGCTATTTCCAGCGCAACAAGACTTCCTGTCCGCCCAATCCCAGCTGAACAATGGATCACGCATGGAGCATGTCGTACTCTGGAAAGCATAACTGCACCAATTTAGGAATTAGTAAGACGATAAAAGCTAAAATCGAGACTTACCGGTCAAGTAACTGAAGAGGTATTCGACATGAATTATGATCAGGAACACCTCGATCGGGCCACCTCAAAAAAAATTTCTATTACGGAAAGACTATAAATATACTAGACACACGGTATGACATAGAGTGGAACGATTTCGAATGATATGGAGTGATAAAAATACGGGGTTTTGTCCAATTTAAAGGTATACGGTTTCCTTATTTAACATGTTTCTGATCGGTGCTCGCTGTGCAAAATCAAATAGCGGCTGAGTTCTGCTTGTGTTCGTAATTCAACACAAAGGGAGAACCCAAACACTACTTATACTCATAATGACTTTCAAACCCCAATAATTAATAGAGCCCTTTGCTGAGGCGAATTTTTTGCACAGACAACAAAAGGATGACAAACAGTACTCACGTCGTCCACCGGTACAGTCGAAGGAACAAGGGTTTCATTTGCTCAGGCGATAATTCTCCTTCAGTTAATGCTTAACAAAAGAATTAATAGGAAGAACACTAATAGTCCTGCCATCCTTAGCATGACGAAATTAAACAATATGTACTGTATTCTGGATTCAGCTCAACTATCATTGATGTCGTTGAAGCGAATTCATCGACTTCTTCTCCTGTGTTCGTCACTTTCAAAGTTGGCATTAACTTTGTCTCTCCAACCACTTCTGGCCAATAAACAGAGCATTTCGGTCGACCATCTTCACATAGCCTGATAGAAACTATCTTCTTTAATTAATAGGAGTAACAAATTCAAAACTATAAAAACAGTCATCCAACATCTAAGCAACGAGAACTAAGATCATGTGCTACGGACCTGCTGGTTTTTTCAGAAAGAGTAGATAACTTTTTGATAACTAGATGATATTGAGGGTTGGGAATGCGTAGAGAATACAGAAGAGCCCTGATTTATCGTTTTATGCGTAAAAAATCCTATGCATGCTACCGTTTAATATATCTTACTATATGACCCGTCTTACAATCACATTGGTGTCAGAATGCAGCTTTAAAAAAAAGAAAAAAGTTGAAGTGTTTTGCAGATTATGTTGAGTTTATCATTGCTTTTTTCTTATCCACTTATTCTATAGGATGATCACGACTTACCATTGCTATTTGAATGAAATAACAGTGCATAGTTAAGTTCGCTGTGAATGAACTTTTTCCGGAAAAGGTTACTTATGAACCATTATGTGTACAGAAGAGCTTTTACCGGACAACTCTCAACAATATTTGTGTTTGATAAGCTATCAAGTGATTAGAGGTCTAGCAGAAAAGTTCTGGCCACCAAACTAACCCACTATGACGAGTAGGACAGCTATAGAGGCCTTACTGATCACAATGCCTCATCTGTACAAATCCCATAAGAGTTAGATCACCATGTAGTTGCTAATATTACTATAAGTGCAAGGAATGGCCAGGAAATTTCTAGTAATTGAGCTTTAGTTTTCCAATATTCGTAATGAAATCAAACATAGTATTAACAAAACTGGGCTACAACATAAACCTGTATATGTGAATCACGAATCCAAACAACCTATTCACGGTAAATGTAAAAAAACATACTTGCATAACATTAAAATTGATTCTATCCTCTCTTGAAGGATCATCCGCCAAAAGTCGTGAATGGTAGACTGCAAAGGTCCCTGCAAAGGATGACTCATATCTCAGATTCACTAACGTATTCGAGCTTTCTATTTTTATTACTGCCCTACTGTATAGTACATCTCACATGCACATCAAACAACTATTTGCATGAATTTTCGAAGTTTCACATATTCATGTTATAAACGGATAAAGCTCTCGTCATTGATCAATCCCTTGGGGATGCGTCATGCATTCGACTTCAGTAAGCATCGCTGGAGGTGATTGAATGCATATAGGCCTTTACAATGACTCATGGTGGCCTGCCAACGTATCGAGCCAGCGCTGCTATCCTTCCAGGTAAGTCTGGTACCAATTTCCCGAACCCGGAGGGATGGAAGGCTTGGTGGTTCACGGCGTGCGAATCGATCCAAAGTGTATCGCAAGGCGCCTTCGACGACTGCGCCACACGTGCCCTCGATATTACAGTAGTACTAATGAAACAGGACGCGGTTCATCTCTTCCACACTGACCCTAACAGGATCATCATAATGAAATGTTACAGCGTAAAACACAAACCTGAGTGCAAATAAATTTCGTTGTCAAAAGCGTAGAGTTGATATAATTTGCGTGAATGTAATCCCCAAATTCCTTTTCACCCAATCTTAGCTTTACTCGTGTTGAATCGGTACAGACAACATCTGTAATTGAAACTGTGAGCGCTATCCTCATTGTAGGAAGATGAGACTGCTCATCACGAAAGCAAACAGAAAAAAGCAGAGCTACTGTCAACTGTACAATGCTCGCTGAAACAGATACTGGTCCTACAACTTGAGATGTCAAAAAACAGTTCCATAAGAAAAAAAAACAGAACGAAACTCATATAGTAAAAGATAACGACGGTAAAAGGTGCACCTGAGTTAATACAGGATTCGCAGTGGAGATAAAAAATGCATGCGTTTTTTTGATGTTTCTTCCACACCGATTTATACATAGGACTCACCTATAGGGTACAACTCCACCAACGTTTAAATTTAGCCTTTCCTATTTTAGAATTTGTGTGAATAAATGAGTGTACCTGAGTATCTGTTTTTGGCCATATTCGATTTAAACGCTTCATACGTAGCTGTTACGTCATAGAAACTGTCAACTCGCCTGAAAATGATTCCAATATTCAGTGATAGACGCATTTCCAACAAATATTGGTGGGCCGTTAACATATACACGGCTCCTAACAATACAGAAGAATACGTCAAAGTTGAGGAAGGTCGCACCTGTACTCCTTAATGATTCCATCAACTTTCTTTTCAGTTATTCGCTCAACAAATTCCGCAAGAACTTTTAGTGATCGGTCAGCCGTATCACCAATCTTAAAAGGACTCCTCATTTTCTTGAAAGAAGGAAAACACCACATATACCAATGTGTAAATGAGAGTAACCGGAAGTTGCTCTATTCTAAATAAGACTTTGAAGTCCTATATACAACTTTGAACATAGAAGTTAGTGGATGCTGAAAAAATTATTTCTCAAATTTAAGACCGAAAATTCTTCTCTACTATTTTTGACTGACAATGCGACTGCAGAAATCAGTAATTTATTTCACCAAGTAATCAACGTACAACCTACTTCCATCTTTCTAAACGATTTTCTTTAAACAACGGCACTTCATCAAACGTTTCAAGCCTTTGCTAAGGTATATGAGGTCATAATCCGCAATAAAGGATAAAAGGATAAAGCTCTCGGAGTTGATCAACCTCTGAGAAATGCGCCATGCACTCGACTTCATTAAGCATCGTTGGACTTGACTGAATGCTTGTCTGGTCTTTACAATGGCTCGCGGTGGCTTGCCGATGTATCGAGCCAGTGCTGATATCGTCCCAGACAAGTCAGGTACCAATTTTCCGACTCCAGAGGGATCCGACATACCGCTTTCACTCAGATTCTCCACTTCCTATCGATATCTTCTGGGGACAGGAAATTTTCTAAAATCTGGGTGAAAGGCTGAGAGAAAGGCAAAAAAATAGTCTCAGTGGTGCGGTGGGTAACACGTGAGCCCAGAAAAGGGCAATCGCTAGTTCGATCTTTGAGTTGTCAAAGTTAAACGCTTACGTGACTAAATCATCCAAATTTTGAACAAGTTCCAAACAGCATTTTGTGAACTGGGCTCTGTGGTCTACTCGGGAATTATTTCGACGGCAATGTTGTTGGGACAAATACGAAATGAAGATACTAATGATAAGAGAATTAGCTCATAATCGAATTTCTGCCTTTTCTCCAAAATCACTTAGAAACGAATTTTAGTGCGCGGAATAACTATAATCAATATCGTGCCTAATAACCATAAAAGGATAAAGCTTTCGACGATGACCAATCCCTGAAGAATGCGCCATGCATTCAACTTCATTAATATCGCTGGAAATGATTGAATGCATACCTGTCCTTTACAATGACTCGCGGTAGCCTATCGATGTATTGCGCCTGTGCTGCTATCCTCCCAGAAAAGTCTGGTACCAATTTGCCGAACCCGGACAGATGGAAGGCTTGGTGGGGCATGGGAGCGGGGATCGATTCTACGTATGTGTCGCAGTGGCGTCTCCAACCACTGCGCCACAAGCGCTCCTCTAATATCGCATCTGTCCAATAAGCATATCAACTTGAAAACCGACTCGAAGGGAACAAGTCCAGAAGACGCTCTTTGAGTAATGAGGAATTCAAAAAATGAAGAGCAGGTAGGGCTGAGCACCATGAAATAGTGAAACCACAGCGTAATGAGAGAAACAATAAACTGGAACCTATTCGATCTCGTAAAATAGAAGGCAGAAGACTTCTGTTTAGATCTATCCTCGGCGACTCCGGAAGGATGGAGGGCTTGGTGAGCCTGGGGGCGGAGATTGATGAGAAAGTGTTCCAGCATTAGAAACAAATTTTAAAAAATATACCGTTGAAAAGTGTACTTGAAAACAAACTAACTGCATTCTCCTTGTCCAGCTGACAACTCCCTTGTTTGCCTTCCGATCTGGTTGTTTCCCTGCCTTTGGAACCAACTACGGCCGACTGTAGTCCTTCCCATACACGGGAAGCGAACGAAGACAGTTCAGATGCCGCCACTGCTACTATAAAAACAGTCCCAATGTAAATTACAACGATAGGACAATATTAAATTGTAAAATAAACAGGAAAAGTTCATTGAGATGCTCTCCAACTTGATTTAAGCCATTGAAAAATCTCCAAAGTTCATGATATCGGATAGCAAGAGCACATACTGAAATTGAACGCCACGACGAACCACTGTAGGCTTCCTGGCGGGTATATATAACAAATGAAAGACAGGCAGAAATGGTTGAATGTGGCAAGCAAGGGGAAAGCGCGTAGGCGAGTTTAGCGCAGTGGTCGGAGGCGCCCTGTGATACACACGTGATCCATCCCCACGCCCCAGGCCCACCAAGCCATTCATTCCTCCGGGTCGGCAAATTGGTAACAAACTTGTCTGGGCGGATGGCAGCACTGGCTCTATACATCGGTAGGCCATTGCGAGTCACTGTAAAGGCCAAACATGCATTCAATCACCTCCAACGGTGCTTAATGAAGTCGAATGCATGGCGCATCTTTCAGGAATTGATCAACGCCTTGAGGTTTATCCTTTATCCTTAAAGCAGTGAGCGAATTCTGTGGTTAACAACAGGTGGCCCAACTGTAGGGTCAAGAATTGTTGAGCTCGACCATTTCTCACAATGAGCCAGTATTTGAGAAAAATTGTAGTGGGCGAAAAGTGGGAACATAAGAATAAGATCTGTTGCGATGTATGTTCACTCTATTACAATATAACTAGAAAGTAACTGAACTAGTTCCGCACATTGAAAGTTACTACGTCATAGTTTTGCATATCGTGCAGGGCCCACATTGTTTCAGGCTCGGTGTGACCTCGGATTCTTCGAAATGTGAGCCAGAAACTATTCAGGCAATAAATTACAGATAGTAACCTCTCGGCAATTTAACTCAGGGTTTTCAAACCTTCTTTCCTACTATGAGAACCTACTTGGTATACAGCGAACACAAAAGTGTTGGAAGAGTACTTTCAGCCGGACTTTCGATCTCCCAGAGAGGCCAAATTCCTCGTAAACACAGAGCTTCATTGTACATTGGAATTCCTCAACAAAAACCAATCTCGCGGCCAACCTTGGCCGGCAAATCTTCGACAATGAATGCAATAAATAGCACTGCTCAACGGCTCCATTCAAAAAGGCGACTAACTTCTACAGCGAAAAGGAAACAAAAACAGATAAGCGATCAGAACAAGTTCGACATTGGCGTACGTCTCAATGAAGACATCTGAGAAACTGGCTTATTTCCAAGGTAAACAATTCTGCCGTGAGCCGTGTTTACATCTATGACGGTAAGGATGGAAGAACACTGGAACAGGACTTTAGACGTTCTGAAGCCATCCGCCCCCCGATCATCCAGCGCTCCACGGCCGCCGATCGATACTCAGCTGATATCAGTCATACTGGCGGCGGCTGGCACCTGTGCGGAGGGAGTCTTCGTGGCGCGTGCTGTTAACGGTGCTTACAAAGTGTCACTTCACTTTCAAATGAAACTATGTAAGAGATGGTCCTTCACCTCTTATCTGATGAAACCCACAGGACTGCAAGCAAAATGTGCAATATCAAGTTCTACAGGTGCTTGAGAAAGCTGTTTTTCTTTGCGAATATGTTTAAACGGCATCGCAAACGCACACTAAAGTCACGTGAAAGCGGCGATCGATTCGGGAGTTTCAGAAACCTTAACCTTACGTATTCGTACCTTACGAAGTCACGAAAAAGCGGCTCTGAAGAAGGCGATACTGCCGAAACGTCAGCTAGCGTTGTATTGTATTGTGTTTTTATGGAAGTAAATGTATGCTGTTTAAAAACCTCGCGATTGCTGAACAAGAAAACGACACATTCATATTCCAATGCCGAGGTTAAGAGAAAGTCGATCCTGGGAACTCTTACGTATTCTATTTACAAACCAGCTTTAGCGAAGTAGGAAATAGGAGTAGACTTGCTGAAAGCAAAAGTCCGATGGAAAACCGAAAGTCTGACAGGTTCGGAAGAAATTTATTAGTAGAGGAGCATGACTCACTCATATGGAAACAACAACTGTAAAACCGGCCTCGTTGGTGACGGATAACAAGTTTATTGCCAACAGCAGCTGAGAGTCTAACAGTGACGACCGCCCGTTGGCCCTTCGAAAACTCATTCTAAAGCGTTATAAACTAAAAGACTGGCACAGAAACACCTGTTTCTGGCCTTAGATGAGGTTTTTGCAGAGCTGTGGTTTCGTCCGTCAAACAGAAAACTGTCCTGACCACTGGTATCGCCACGAGACTGTTTAAAAGGCGTAATAAATGCGTTGACACAACCGCTTCTCATTGCTTGTCACAACTCCAATGACATTCATTCACCATAGAGGGTTGTACGGACGGAAAGTTCGCTGCAAGCGTTGAACTAAAGCTCGAACAGATTATATCCTCTACACAGACGGTTCGGCTGTGCGTTGTGTAAAGATCAATATTGGAATCTAAAACATTCTACAACATGGAGTATAGTGGAATTTAGATATTCTAATATATGTAAGGGAAACGTATATATTTAAAGGCTGCGTTTAGCGCAGGGCTTAGAGATATCCTGCAATACACTCGTGGTTGTTGGTTCGATTCCGCAACCCAGACCCCAAGCGTTCTATCCCTCCGGTGTCGGCAAATTGGTTTAAGATCTGTCTGGGAGGTTAACAGCACTGACTTAATGCATCGATAGGCCACCGGAAGTCAATGTAGAAGCCAAATATTCATCCAGTAATTTCCAATTTTATAAGAGAAATGCACTCTCTCTCTACTTGACAAATTCAGTTGTAACTAAGCAATCTGGGTAATACTCGATGAAACTAAACAACGTTGACAACGTCCATTTGAACCTTTGCGATTCCACTCCGATTGGAATAGTTGTTTTATTAGTCTGAAACTCTAAACTTGTTCTGGAGATAGGAAAAAAGGTACAGTACGAAGATGGGCGCTCTGTGTGAGTCAGGATGAATAACGGCATGATGACTAACAATCTTCTACAGACCAACCCACCGACATGAAAAGATGAAAACGCATAGCTATCACCACCTCTGTAAAGTCAGAACTCGAAACGAAACCTGTATTCAAAGACAGCAAGATAGGTTGTTTTCTCCAGGATAT